TCTTAGAGCTTGGCACTTCCCTGCAAACGTTTCTTCACCTTGTATGGTTGGTATGATTGTGTCTCTTCTCCTTCCTGCATTCAGGATTCTCCAGACCTCACTACCTTTCGCTTCGTTCATCGTCTTTTCCCGCTGGTCCGCGTTCGCTTTCCGGATCATGACTGTCCATTCTCTGCATGCCTTCCGGTGCTCCTCCACATGGTTGGGTTTCTTTGTATTTCTCGCCTTCCTTTCTGCCGAGTTTACCTTTGCCTTCATCTGCTTCATTTCGTCTGTCCACCAGGAATTGGCCCTTACGCCCTCCTTCGAGAGTGGTGTTACTATGCTGATTGTTGACTTGACCAGTTCTAGGAAGAATTCGACCGTTTGTTCCGTATGTTCCTTGGTTTCCCATGCCTCTGCGGGGAGGGAAAGATTTGATATGTGGTTATCCAATAGCTTCCAGTCTGTTTGTCGCCACATTCGTCTTGGTACAAAGGGTGGTTTTTCCAGGTGTAGATGGACAGAGGTTCTCCCGTGGTCTGAGCCCGCTCCGTAGGGTTCAGTGCTCCATCGTAGGTTGTGGTCAAGTGTTGGGCCTTTTACAAATGCAAGGTCGATGATTGTGGGCCTTTTCCCTCTGTCTCTAGGGAAGTGCGTATAGACTCCTGGCTCATTCAGGAGGGTCAGTTTCTGTCGGGTTATCCACTGTTTTAGCCGTGCACCGTTGACGCGGTCTGCTCGAATGTTGTTCCTGTATTCATGTGAGGTTACTCCGTACCACATTTGGTGGTGGCAGTTGAAGTCTCCCATTACTAGGCAATTGTCGAGGGTTTGGATTGTGTTTGCTATTTGGGTGAAGGGGCCACTTCGGCCTGGGGAGTATATGTTTAGGATTTGGGTTTTCTTGTTCTGGATTTCTACCGTAATCGATACTATGAAATTGTCATGTGTGTAGTGGTGTTTTGGTTTAAGGTTGGTGTGTTTACGGACATATGTTGCGCATTTTGTATTGGTATTGCTGGCTGTAAAAAGGTAAAAGAGGTTTGATTCTGGTGGGTATCCCTCTGTTGAGGTCTATGGTTCTTGTAATAATAGGAAATAAATGCAAGAGTCTGTTTCCGCTTCCTCCACCGCCGCCTTGGTGATTAGTTCGCTCCTTGCACAGTTAAGTTGGTATGCGAGCGCGGTGGTTCGGGGTCTAGGCATTATTCGTCATGTGTTGGTCATCTTCGGGAACGGGTGTGGCTCCGACCGGGGCGGTAGCTGGTACTTGGACTATTGGGAGTAACTCTTGGACGGGTGCGGCAGGTGGGTCTTGGGCGGGAGGGGCGTTTTCCTTTCCTTTGTTGAGGAATCGGCGTTTAACCCTTTCGGGGCATGCTGGGTCGGAGGCCTTATGGATTCCTTTGCAGTTCAGACATCTGATTGGGGTGTGGGTGCATTTATATCCTCCCTGGCATTCATTGCATGGGTGGAAGCTGGTGAGGTGATCTCCAGCGCAGTGGCCGCATTTCCCATTGTTCTTGCATTTCTCCTGGCGGTGGCCATATTCGAGGCATTTCGCACACTGGGTGTCTGGGAAGGTTGGGAGGAAGGCCTCGATATGGCAACTTCGGTTAAAAAGAGATAGGAATTTAACTCCTAGTGTTTCCGTTGTGATTTGTCCTGGGAGCGCGATGACCATTGATGAGTGGGTTTTCTCCATTCGAGTCACTGCTCTGGAGATCCAGCGGGGAACCTGGGCAAGTTGGAAGTTTTCTCCATAGTTGCTTCTGATTTCGGATGCTATCAATTGTCCTGCCTCGATGCCCTCCTCGACCGTTGTGGGGATTTCGTGGAGAAGGAACTTTGACCATTTGGAGTTTGCACGGTTATTGGCGACCGGTACTTGTAGGGTGAGGAGGGTCTCTTCAATTTCTTTGGCATATTCCATTGCCTTTGTTGCGGGGGTAATGAATTTTGTTTCTAGGATGAAGTTATCCTTGGCTGTTCTCCTTGCTGAGATGAAGTGGCAGGATTCGTCCTGGATTCTTGCGTTGACCAGGGTCCTGATCTCGGAGGGGTTGACGTCGGATGGGGCAGTAGTTTCAACAATGATTTCTCTGTTGATTTTGGTGTACTCTGGTTTGAAGATGGGATCCGCTTTTGGCTTTGCAGGCTTCTTTCTTTCGACCACCTGGAATTTCTGAGCAGGGACGGCTGCCGAGGCCACGGCGGCCCAGGTGCCTGCTTTCCATCCACGGGGTAGGGCTTGTTGGGGAGGTGCGGGTGGGGGGGCCTGAAGAGCTGCCTGTGGTGCTGCTTGGGGGACTGTTTGGGGGACCGCTGGAGGGGCCGTTCTTTGTCTCTGTTGCGGTTGTTGTGGTTGTTGCTGTTGCTGTTGTTGCTGCGGTTGGGGTTTGTTGAGGAGAGAGTGGATCGCCGAATGCATGTTGGTAATCATCATTGTTTGTGCCTCGATTTGGTGTTTCAGTGTTTCCACTGTTCTCCGGAGTGTAATCGATTGCTCCTCGAGGATTTCAATCCTGTCGGAGGGCGGGCAGATCCGGCTGGTTGCATGTCTAATGGCCCAGGTGATGTAGTTTAGGTCTGTCTGGGTGTGAGTAGTATGGAGGACAGTACTCGGGTAGAGATAGTCAATTCTCGGTTGGTAAGGGTCGTTATAGTCAGATTATGTTGCAAAGGTCGAGGACAATTCCTGTTCCTGTGTTCCGGATGGGGTTGGATCGGGGTCCTGAGTGTTCCTGTTCTGTGAGGGGGCTGTCCCTTGTGGGGAAGATTGGGTGAAAAATGACTGGAGTGAGGCTTGCTGCAACATGACTGAATGTTCGGTTCTTCTGGCGGCGTAGATTGATGTTTCGGATAAGTTTCTTTTCCTTCCTTTCGGGAGGTCAAGACTGGAGAATTCTTCGCTAGAAGCCAATTTTCGTAGAGTTTCTTTCGCTTAGAACAACAAACGCGACCGTACGGTCAGGGACGAGGAGGCTCAGCCTGGTATGGTATACCAGGGTAAACCAAAGTAATAAGAAGTAAAAGGTAGAGCAAGTAAAGTATACGATAATTTCGAAGCGAGATTTACTGTCAGGAAATTTTGCGAGCCTTAGCGAGCCGAATGAATACAGAGAGAGAGAGAGAATCTTATATTGCATAGAAGCCGAAGCTTATCGCACACCTAACTACCCGACTACAACCTCCACCGACTAACCCGAAAGCAAAAACGAAGTACAAAAACTAACTACCGCAGCTACAAGAACTGCGTACATAAATAAAACAAAAACAGCGCACGAAGAGGGCGCGAATAACAAGTGGTACAGGTAAGCAGAATCTAAGCGACAACAAAGAAACCTCCCCGTAGTAAAAGTAAGAACCCCAAACTTCTCCGTCAACTGCATTAGCGAGCACAAACCTAAACGTAGTGTTCAATCGAAACGATATCATTACCAACGTTCCCGGTGTCATATCTGTGGACGAACCTTAACAGGACTGGGAAACCACGCGCACGAAGGCAGGAAAGGCCAACCGCAACAGCGTCAGGTGTGAAAGCGAGGGGGGGTGGGTCGAGTGTGGGTCCTCGGGCTTCTGGTTGTCAGGCAGCGAGGAATTGAGGAGTGGTGACCGGTTGGTCAAATAAAGAGTGGGTGGGGTCGTCGGTCCCTGGAGCAACGGCTAAAGACAGTGCCCGAGTCGTGTTTGAAGTGGTGTCCTCTGGAGGGGACATGCAAAAAGGGTTGAGCCGAAGGCTCAGTATGTATGGGGGTCGCAATCGAAAGTGCCGACCGTGTTGTGTTGAGGGTGGTCTCGGAGACCGGTTGGGTTGGAGTGAGGGGAGCGGGCCGCCTCGGGTAAAAGTGGGTGGCCTGGTTAAGGCCGATAAAGAGGGGTAAGGTCACGGGACCTCGGATAAAAAATTTGACGATAGTTTCGCGACCGAGAGGTCGCTAACTTCGCGGGCTGTCGAGCGCTTTGGCAGTAGGTTCTCGCTGACTGGAGATTACTGACAGTGTGCGTACCTGGCGTGTGGGATCACTCGTGCGATGAGTGAAAGTAAGGAGGGGCGAAGGCGGCTTTCGAGAGTAGCCGCTGGTTTGGCGAGGGGTGAACGGTGGACGCATCCCGTGAGGGCACCGAACGAGCAAAGAATGGGGGGTGTCGAGCGAGCGAAGTTCAGGGACCGAAGCAATTCGAGAATCAGTATAACTCCATCTCGGGGGGAAGAAATTCTACCGCGAGCCAGAGGCGAGCGGGTAGAATACAGAGGTTGCGTGAAGAGAAAATGAGAAGAAGGAAAACATGAAGAAGCACGAGACAACACCTCCTTATATATCCATACCCCAGCCTAGCGATTACTAACACCCTCGCGTAACAGAAACAGAGAGAACTCCATAGAAACCCGTATTACCAATCCCCACCACACTGCGCACTCCTTCCCCTTCGTACCCTGACAACCCGAATAACCAAACCAGACAGCTGCCGTTACAGCCCGTTCCAGCACTCACAACAACGTCCCGGTGCATCAATATGTCGGCGATGGCGGCAGCTTCCCAATCATAGAGCTTGATGCTGTACATTGCACGGGCAACGCTGAGCGCGCGCAAGATATAGTGTGTTCGTAAATGATTTGGGTCAACATCGGCGGAATCTAACCACTTTTTACTCTCCATCTTCAGAACTCTTTGGCACAGGAGATTGGGGCGATGTGACGATAATGGGTGCCTGAAAACTAACTACGTAGTAGATACAGTGGAGCACATTGTTACCCGGCGAAAGAAAGAATACCCCCGGCGCAAGAATGAATACCCCCCCGCGCAAGAAATACAGCACGCACCGTCAGGAACAAGAATGAATACCCCCCGCACAAGAATGAGTACCCCCCCATGCAAGAAATACAGCACGCACCGCCAGGAACAAGAAAGAATGAAACCCCGCGCAAGAAATACAGCGCGCACTGCCAGGAACAACAACTATAACCCCGTGCATCTACCACAGGTAAGCTATAAGAAATAGAGAGCGCACAGAGGTTAGTATAAAAGAAAACCCTTTAAAAACACGGCCTGCTTGGCGCGAGAAATGGAGCTCGCATCAAAATCAAGAATCCTACTTTGGCAGTTTTCTGCCCCCCCTTCTAGATTTCCACCCGAGGGGATTTTATTCACCCAATTGCCGACATCTGTCGTCTTCTGTGATATTTCTGCTGGGCCTCGGGTGGGGCACCGCGCATCGGTATCGACGTGCTCGTGCTGGGGGTTACCGGGGACGGTGGTGGAGGGGCTTGCCTCATTTATCACTTCAAGCACCGCCCTGCTGGAGGTTTCCCTGGTCTGGAGCACTTTATGCCCATCCTCCAAGCCCTGGCTCTGCGATTTAGGGCCATTGCGGGGACTCTGGGGTACGGGGATAGAGAAGGGCGCGGGGGTAGAGAGAGGCACGGGGATAGAGAGGAGCGCTCCAGAATCGATAACACCATAGCCATCAAGGTCAATGATAGTACTTAGTTCTCCAGCTTCACTGGAAGGCTCACGGAACGCAGTGTTCATATCAGGGGGCCAATATCTCGACCCCGTGCGCGCGATGTTTTCGCGGAGCGATTGAGGATCCAATTGCATGGACAGCGGTGACGGCGCATGCTGACTCATTTTACGCTCGGGGTTATTCTCATGGTTTTAAAGGGTGTAGAAGGGTTCACCCTCTGGTGATATCAGGGGCCTATGTCACCTCTCGAGCTCGCGTGGGATTCTGCGGCGGGGCTTTTGCTCTCTTGCGCGATCTAAAAATATGCTCGGTGGGTAGGCGCGCAGGAGGAATCGCGAAGAAGGCGCTGGTGGTCGACATTGCTTGTTGCGCGGTGCCAGGAGCTTCGACGGGGTGGTTTTGCCATGAGCGGTTGGAGTGATGCTGCATCTGTTGCGCTAGCAGTTTGGACTGATACCGCGCGCACGTATATTCTTTCTCAGTTTGCATGACTTGCTTTGCGTCAGACAAATTTTGGAGGAGCGATGGTTCTTCTCCGTACAGTTCACAGAGCTTGTCTCTTTTCCTTTTGTACTGCTCAATAAGAGCGTGCTGCCTACGAGTAGCACTGAGCAGGTATTCCTTACGGCGTATGGCAGCATAGGCGATAGTGTCTAGGGGGTTGCACTCGTCGATGATTACATGCTGATGAATTTCATGCGTCATGTAAATATTGGAGCGCGCGTATAGATTGGCGAGGTTATTGGAGAGTGGAGTTTCTTCATTGTAATCACAGGCGGAGGCACGATTTTCTGGATGCGCAAATATATCTGTGTCCACTGGGTCCGGAGATTTAGCGCGCGCAACGCGGAACCTGCTTACTTCCTCTGCGATCTGTTGGTTGGTGCTCGAAACAGCATTCTCTGCATCTTTCACGATGTCAGTGAAATCAAACTTGGGGTCGTCAAAGTCGGAGAGTAAATCTCCATGTGGTGGCGATGGGGGGATGGGGAGAACTGGCGTGTATCCGCCATGTTGCGAGATCGATGAATTCTCCGTGGGGCAATATGGCAGTAGGAAGTCGGGTGTACGGTCTTGGATGGGGGTAGAGGGAATTGGTGGAGGCAATGTAAAGGGGGAATTGGTGGTGTGGGTTGTGTCCTTGAAGATAGTCGCTATAGAATTATCGCCCAGGTCGCTGATGGGGTCTTTGCCGCAATGATTGAGAGCTTTGCCCAAAGCGACGCAAAATCTATCGCGTAGGGTCTTTTCCCAGTATTCATCCGTATCATCTTCGAGCCAGCCAATATGGCTAGGTGGAGCTTTCACTGTGGGCACGCCTATCAGTAGGGGTGTGTGGATTTCGATGAGCTCCGTCATCCCAAAAGAGGTAACGTCCGCCAAAGGTGGCAAGGGCCGAACCCTATGCGCAGCTCCTGCAGTGGACCGTCGTTGAAGATAGTCTTCCAGGAGGGGGCTTTCCTGGAAAATTTGGGCGTATTGCTTGACCTTCTTGACCAGATGGCTTAAAACCTTATCGTGCGCAGCCTGGAAGTCGCCAAGAGGATGCAATTCTGCTTTGGCAAACACCTCCTCGGCGGGCAGGAGTTGCTTAAAGAGGTCAGGTATAGGGGCTTGAAGAAACCCGGCACGCACGAAGAATACTTGGCCCAGTAAGGGGGCACGCGCGCGCTCCATTCTTCAATCGACTATTGAAGGTTAGTAGCCAGCGCTTCGGAATATCTGTAGGGCGTGGAGGGGGGGGTCAAACCTTAGAGCTTCGCATGAAGTTGCGGAGATGATTGTGTGCGTAATCAGGCTTAATGGTAGGTTTTGGAGCAGGCTGCTTTTTATTTTTGGGGTCTGGCTCCTGGGCGGGGTTTAGATCTGGGGTTTCCTCCACTCGGGCATTGCATGAGCGCTTTGGGGGGGGGGCTCGTTGGACCAGGAATATGGATGCGCTTGCGAGCTGGCACTGCCATGTTTGCTGTATGGCTTTAATTGCGAGCTAAAGGTCAAGCAAGATATTAGTATGGAAATATATCTATGTGAGGTGCAGTGTATGCGCAGTTTTTCACGTGCACTAGTATATGAGTACGCGTGATCATCCTCGCGCAGGAAAATATAAAAGGTACATGGGGATCCTCACGCCGGTGTATGATAGTACGTAGGCAATGTGGGGATCCTCGCGCTGGAATAGAGATGCGCGGGTAAAAAGGAGCGCGATGACACAGATGCGCGGTCAAATATGAGCTCAGGAATGTAGATATACATACAAGAATATGGGTACGCGTAGGGTACGCCGTGCATGTAGAATACCGTTCGCGTGGAAAATGGTGCAACAGGAATTGAATTGGGGGGTTTAGCGGCAGAATATACGATGTGGTGGTGGTAGGTGTATGTGGTGAGGATCAAATCCATCAGGCTGTATGAAGGTTTGACGTGATATATCATGATGTGGCTGGATGTGTGGCTGTAATAACATTACCCTGACCTTGCTATTATTACGTATTACAGCCTGGAAACGAGGCTAGTAATCTAGCCATCTGTACGGGCAAAACACCGGCCCCTATGGAGGATTCGCCCGCAACCCGCTACCCTATACTAACTCGCAAGGGAGCGCTTGGCGCCTACTATAAACGCCGCGTAGAGAGCGAAGATTGCACCTACAACAAAAACGTTACTGGTTACCGGGTGTTCTAACCGGCCTGTACGAGCGTCCTATCCAGCAGAAGGCTTGTCTAGATGTCCTATTTTGTGCAAGACCAGACGAGACCACTTTACAAAAGTCTCGGAACTTCCTTTTAAGTAAAATTAATCTCGTTCAATTCTGCTCAGCCTTTAACCCTAACCGCCACCAAAACTTTTGTTAAGACCCTTACCCTAACTATACCCTCACTGCTAAATTCTCGATACTTTGTCAACACTAAAAATCATGAATCGGGAATTACAAAACATGAGGCCTAAAATTCCAAGGCGAGACAAGACTATGCTCTATTCTAACTTCTTGGTCAACGCTCCCCAGTCTTCAACGTTGGCACTTACTGGTTATTATCGACCACCAGGGCGCCAGTAAACAACTCTGGCGACCCGGACGCCCAGCTCTCCATGTAACCGATCATACTGAAAACGGAACAGGTTTGGTCTGCAAGCATAGGAAATATTGTAAGTATATACAGGCGGTATATAGACATTGGAGTCTCGTGCTGTTACCGAGATACTGGAGTTCAGCACCCACTACAACATTGTTTAGTGCGTTTGTGACTGGGACCCCGGTAGTCAATACCAACCCATTAATTAATCAAACGTCCCAGTTAAAAACGTTGACGGATGGGAAGCGTTGGTGAGGAGGTCAGAACACCACGAAACTAGCTCAACAGTGTTTAGCGGGTTACCACGTCGGGTCGATATTCCAAGATGATAAAATACCGACCGAATGGCTCGATTGATTTCCTCCTATCAATAGACATAGGCTCTATTTATCTAGTCTCGATAAACGTAGCCGCCCTCCCAGCTTCTCAACCCTGCTCTAACCCTAACCGTAACAGCCTGCGCCTGTCACTGTGGCACGAGATTAGTTATCAAAAAAAAAAAAAAAATCCTAACACTCCCGGATATACCATGAAGACATCTGTCAGAGTCATTGACCAGGCGCTGGTGACTGCACAAAGACCAGCGGGATTAGCGAGAAAAAAGATCATTTTGTCATTCTACAAAAGTTGGGAGTAGTTGAGGTCTAGTTTCGCGCTTAGCCCTCGCCAAGGGAGTTAAATGCGAAAAAGACCCCCGGGACCCTCAGCGCAAAGGATCTAATTTTTCACTTAACCCTTTTCCGGCAGTTCCGATTAATAGAATACTTAATACATAATTCCTTTGGGTATGCGCCGGTAGTTGCGAGAACATTATCAATGCCATTGTAACAAGTTCTGATGCCCAACACTGGACGCCTTCCCGTAAGCTATAGCGGGCGTTCTATCGCCGGATAGATCAAATTTTGGTGTTCTAGTGAATAGAACAGTGTGTCTGTGTTTCTTATAGCCCCCCGAAAAGGGGGGGGCGGGGGTCTATTTGATTCATGAACTCTATCCATTTTCTATCCGTTGCAATAGGGAGGACACCTTACTAGCGCGAGAGATATGTACATAGTCCCAAAAAATGACCTCGCGATACCCAATTTGTATTAGGCGCTGATGAGACCCTTAGGAATCGATATCAAACACCATATACTTACGAGAACCTGGTCTAGTCGAAAGCCATCCTCTATTGCAATAAGACACGTTCAATAGCTTACGGGAAGGCGTCCACTATCGACAGGTATACAGATATATAGTCGACCTATTTCGTACCCCTGTTCGTCGTGACATGGGTAGAGATCCTCGAGCAACTTCCCCCTGCTCCGTGCGTGCCTGACGATCAGGGTCCCGTGAAATATTCACGAGTAAGATACTGGGAGTAAGAAACATGGTTATAAACCGGTTATAAACTCAGGTCCGGTTGAGAGTGAGTAAGATACTGGTACAGGGTTAGGGGTTATTTCAGCAACGAATGAGCGTAAAGAGTGAGGAAGAAAGCACTAGAAGAGGCAGATACAACTACATGTAGCTGGACTTTTGAAGAGGCATTCGGCATTTTTTTCGCTTATGTAACCGGTCACCCGAAGTATCATGCAGTTATAAACACCAGTTTCCAACAGCTCGAGTATTTTGCCCTGTTTTAAACACGGTCTCGAGTACCTCACGGGGACCCTGCCAGTGACGATCCCACCCACACATGCAGCCCGGTTGTGAATCTTGATGCAGGTACCCGCTGGTCTTGGCACACACGGCTCATGGCTCAAGCCTCATTGCGGTTGTGCGCTAGAGGTCGCCTCGGCCAAAAAAAGAAAGGAAACGCACGGAGCAGGATCCGCTCTTCATCAGAGTAATCTTTCAGGACCGGGCGCTATTTGGAGAGACTAAACCGGTCAAGCAAAATCTCTTGTGAATCCGCTACTAATAAACCTAACCCTCACTCCGTGAACCTCTTTAGTATGAATGTAATGCTCGTCACCCTTCCTTCAGCAGATCGTTTCGTTTTTTGAACGGGTTTATTCTCTTTTTGGCAGCGTTACAATCCAATTGCGGCTAGTATAGTGAATATCGCCACGCCGTTTCTTCGGCAAAAAGTTGTGAATTGCGGGAACGAACGAAGGGATTGGCCATTTCCGGCCAGGGATTATCGCTCTAGTGGTTGGTTGAATGACATTGATATGCATCAGAAGTTTCTCATATAAGTAATTTTGATCTCTGGAAGCTAGCCAATTTTTTGAGTTATGGCGGTAGCTCAACTGGTAACATATGGAGTGCCGGGTATATTTACCCCACATTTCAAACACCAATAATCAGGAACCACGTGTTTCAGCATGCGCAGTGCTGGGGGGGGGGGGGCAACTCCACTTTTCTCTCACTTTTACATTCTCAACGTTCATAGTCAATCCATTTACTACCTCTCTATTTATCATTTCCTTTCACGAAAGGATAGCTATGATGACTTTGACATACAGGGAGGGCTTTAGCTGGGCCTCAGAAATAGAGAGTCCATGTGGAGGGACCGACATTTTGCTGCTCCAAGACCCCCCAGCATCCTTCGATCGAGATCATAAAATAAGTAATGATTCACTTGTTCCTCCGGTATCTAGCGTTACACACCCTCAATACTCATGGGACTTTGTGGCTAAACAAGGCTACATTTCAGGATGCATGTTATCAAATCCTAGGGATGTTGAGCGGCCAAAACATTCTTGCTCGCCGTTTTAGACAGGTCAACAGGTCAGTGTACATTTGAGTGCAGGCGTGACCAGGAGCTAACATTCTTAACATAGCTGCACAACTCCCCAGGGTTTTTTGTCTTATCCTTGATACCCTTTCTACCGGGGATCAGTGCTTCGCCCGTTTTAACTTCTCACCGCCACCCTAATACTCTACTCCCCAACACTCCCGGGAGCTCTGGAACAGATCTATACAGCAAGGCCCTATTCTCTTTCCTCATTTTAGGAGCATGTATTTCTATAGTGGCATACGTTTACGAGTACTTGGAGACTCGGCGTCTCGAGAGGGGATCCATTCCTTCATCAGTTGGGGTGCCGAACAGTGGCGAAGAACCCCCTCCTCCCAACTACCGGATTCTAGCTCTCAATGCCCCCAAAGCTGTGTGGACGATCCTTTGTGTGATGAACCTCATCATGCTATTTCTCCAGCGGCCTACGCTTGCCCAAGCTTGCGAAAGCCCCAATCCAGATATAGCTGGCCTTGTGGCTCAGGTAAGCTTATGGATTCCTGCTGGAATTGTTATCCTCACTGCGGGGCTGGGGCACTTACATGGGGAGGTTATGGGTGCTAAGAATGTTCATTTAGCGTTGTTCGGCGCCCTGATAATATACGGGTGTAATCTTCTTATTCAGGATATGATGCCAGTTGACCAAGTGATTGGTGCAATGGTTCTCGACTGCCTGTTGATGATCGACTCGGTGCCAACCTCCATGAAGGAGTGCTTATCAGCTCGCCACATAATTCGACTGGCAAATCTCACTCAATACTTCGGCCTAGTAGTGACCTTTGTGCTTATTCAACGCTTTAGAAGCGCCGTCATAGCCCCCGAAACATTGGAATCTGACAGTCCTCTCACATGTGACTGCTTTCAAATCTACTGGTGGGGTGTGATAGATTCCTGCCATGGAATCTCGCCAAGCCTCGTTGTATATTATCTCCTCCGAGCTACTGGCACACTCCACGGGTCTTGGCTATCACTTCACTATACGGGACTCTATGACGAATGCGAGAAGGCAGAGAGAAGTGATTGTAAAAATATGGCATTGCGACATCGGTTATGTATGGTAATTACTCATGTATAAGGGATGACTCATAGTTGGAATAAGGAGGCTTAGCGCTAGGATTATGTAATCAGGGGATCACGTGGTACTAAGAACTATCTGTATATAAGGAGTAACAAACTCCCATCATTGTCGCTGGAACTCAGCGGCGCAATAGTATCTTCTTTGCACTATAAACATATTCCTCACAAAGGTCACGTGTTCAAACCCTCCTTAAGTCGTCTATTCTTCCACACTCCAATTCACAGGTTATGAGCCCGAGTTCTGCCAAATAGAATCCGCACTACACCATCGCCACCTCGCTTAACTCAACAACACTTCATACAACATCATGCCTTCAGAAGGAGAATCGTCATCCAAGGCTGCTGAGATCAAACCCTCAGAGACAACAGCTACCAGTAACATTCGTCTCAAGTTTGATGGACTCCCTAAATTACAAGGGCAATCCAACTACCAAACTTGGGCGAGTGCCTGGAGGATAACGTTCGACGCTGTAGACTGGTGGGAAGCGTTGAGTATCGAGAACCCTGACGAGAATGACACCGAACTCAGCAAAACCGAGATAAAGAAGGCTCGTAAACAAATGCACAGCCTTCTCATCTCTGCTGTATGCGAAGAAATACAACCAACAGTCGTCTCCGCTGAAAATGCATTCTACGCATGGAAGGCGCTCAAAGACCTCTACGATCGTGTCTCACCCAACACCACGATCACCCTCCTCAGCCGCGTCCTAGACACGAAGATGCAAGAAGGCGGATCACTGACCGAGCATCTCGCAACCTTCGATGCGAACTGGAATACTCTCAAGTCCAGATGCCAAAGCGCAGACCACAAACTCGCTCAGGCCCTCCTACCCCTCACCAAATCCAACGAAGCCATGGCGGCATTCCTCCTAAGTTCGCTACCCAAATCGATGAGCAACGTCGTCGACAACATCCAAACCAAACAGGATGTTACCTACGAAGACGTACGCCAACGACTACAGAACCTGGATGAGGTAGCCCCTCAAACAGGGAACAAGGTACTCCATACCAGGAGTACTACAAGCGACAAGGAATGCACCTGGTGCAAGAAAAGGGGTCAGCCTTACAAAGGCCACGAGTACACGGAGTGCAGAAAGCTCAAAGAACAGAACAAGAACAGGAAAGGAAGGAGAAAGGACAACTCGGCATCGGTTGTAGTAAATGACTCTACAACCACTATCTGTATGGTACGCCACGACATCTCCCAACCCCTTACTTGGATCCTTGATTCTGGAGCGACCTCTCACGTCACACCCTTCCAAGACCAACTCATCGACATCCGACCTCACACCGGCAACGTCCGAACAGCAGATGGAACCAACCACGCTGTCACCGGAATGGGAAGCGCTAGTTTCAGCTACCACCTTCCCGATGGAAGTAGATCTTCCATACTCCTCACCGATGTGCTGTTGGTCCCAACCTTGGGAAATGTGGGATTGATTTCAGAAACCGTGCTCGACAAAAAGGGATTTAGAACGGAGTCAGGAGGAGGAAGCAAGTTGGTTACAAAAGAAAAGAAAGGAATAATTTGGGGAAAATTGGAGAAGGGACTTTGGAATGTACAAGTAGTTAGCAATACAGTTCGTTTGACCACTTACGATGAATGGCATCAAGCGTTAGGCCACCCTGCGACACTAGAAAACTTGTATCACGACATTCAAAGACTGCCTCCCAAACCAGAAAGATTCCACTGCAGTCAATGTGCACTATCAAAAAGCGTACATAAGAAACCTGCACCAATTAGTACTAGATCCAAACGACCATTCGAACTAATCCACTCCGATCTATCTGGAAAGTTCAGTATACAGTCACAAGGGAAAGCTCAGTACTATATGTCCTTCATCGATGATTACACCCGCTTCGCATGGATATATCTTCTGAAACAGAAAGAAGACGCAAAGAAGGCCATCAAGGATTACGTTACAAGGATCGAGAAACAGTATAGCACAACAATACTGAAATTCAGAACGGATGGTGGTGGTGAATACATCAACAAGGACATAACGAACTACTTCGATTCACAAGGAATAGTTCATGAACAGACTCCCCCATACACTCCTGAATCTAATGGAGTTGCAGAACGATTCAACAGGACGGTAACCACAATGGTCAGGTGCATGATCATGGACCACCCTAAGTCGTTATGGGGAGAAGCATACGCAACAGCTGTCTACCTCAAAAACAGGCTACCTCACAGTACGCTTAAGGGAAAGACCCCCTTTGAAGCCCTGAAAGGAACCAAGCCAAGTATACAACACCTTCAACCATTCGGCAAAAAATGCCACGTCCACATCCCAGAAAACTCTAGGCCAGCAGGAAGCAAACTAGCACCCCGAGCGTATGAAGGAATCATAGTTGGATACTCAGACAGTGATAAAATATACCGTATCTGGATAGGAACTCAACATAGGGTAATTGAAAGTCGGGACGTCACATTCCCCCCTCCTGAATCAGGGGAAGGCTCAGTGGAACTCGACTTCATCCCCAGCCTGAAACCAGAAACGGCAAATGCACCATCAGACGACGGATACGAATCAGAAGACAGGTCTGATCCAGAACCCGAGTCAAATGCAATCGAAGAGAACCGTACAGAAATGCCAGGATTGTTCCCGGAATCACCGGAACTGGTTAGAAAACCACCACCGGCTACATCAGACAAGGGAAAACAACCTGCCGTACCTATGGGACAACCGCGAGACCCAAGAGACAACTGGGAGAAAATTCCAGCACCAGTCGTACCATTCAAAGGCTTCAAAGGAAAACCACTTGTGTCAACGACACCCAAAGGTACACCACCACAACCTCCAAAATGATCAGATCGAATACGCCAGCGAAAAAATAGAGAAATTGAAATAGAAGTACGAAGGAAGGAGTATGACGAGAAGGTTGTAGAACAACAGAAGTTACTTACAAGTTATATCGAAAATGTAAAAGAAAATGGCCCAGGAGACAAAGCCACTGAACAAGAATTAATCGATCAATACAAAGAAGACTTCAGACGTTATAGGGCTGAGTTAGACACGGAATATCAAGACGTATCCAAACTCCCCCCGAACTACCATATACACCTCGTAACAGAACCTTCCACCTTCAATCAAGCTATGCAGAGCGACGATCAACACCTATGGAAAAAGGCGATACAGACTGAGAAAGACGCTCTTGACAAAGCCCATACCTGGGATATTGTCAACAGACCATCCAACCGAGCAGTAGTCAAAGGAAAATGGGTATTCAAAGTGAAACACAACGCGGACGGAACAATCGAGCGGTACAAAGCAAGGTACGTTGCTAAAGGCTTCACCCAAGTACAGTACCAAGACTACGATGAGACCTTCGCCCCCGTTGCACGATATGATTCTCTACGGCTCCTACTGGCACTAGCTGCACACAACGGTTGGATACCACAACAAATGGACGTCAAGTCAGCCTTCCTGTATGGTGTACTCAAGGAGGAAATCTACATGGAACTGCCTGAAGGCTACAGGCAGGACAACAAGGTTTGTAAACTTCGAAAATGCATATACGGACTAAAGCAATCACCCCGAGAATGGTATGCTTGCCTAGCAGACTCCCTTCAACGGAAAGGATTCGTCCCAGCCAAATTCGACCCATGTGTCTTCATACATAAGAACCACCAACTATACATATCGGTGTATGTAGATGACATCATGATATTCGGACCCGACTCCCCATTCAGAAAAGAAATCAGACAACTACTCAAGGCAGATTTCGAATGTACGGATCTCGGTAACTCGAAGTTCATATTGGGAATAGAAATAACGGTAACCAACAACGGTATCACACTATCACAACGCGCATACATCAATAAGATCCTGGATAAATTTGGAATGAGTAACTGCAAACCAGTTGGTACACCACTCGAACCGAACCTTAACCTTCACAAAGGCGAACCGGAAGACCAAATCGAGAAACCAACTGAGTACCAATCCATAATAGGATCACTGATGTACGCGAGTATAGCTACCAGACCTGATATCACCCATGCCGTTACCGCTCTCTCCCAGTACTCCTCATGTCCAACCGAGGACCACCTACGAGCAGCCAAGCGAACTCTCCGTTACCTCAACGGAACCAAAGACTGGAACCTGTTCTACCCGAAGGGGAATACTAGAACACTCGACGGATTCTCAGACAGTTCCTACGCTTCAGACCTAGATGACAGAAAATCGTTTTCAGGATACGTGTTCAGACTAGGGAAGTCAGCCATCAGCTGGAGAAGCCGGAAGCAGAAATCAGTCGCAGTCTCAACAACAGAAGCCGAATATATGGCCCTGTCCCTCGCAGCTCGACAACTGGTATGGATTCGTAACGCCTTGCTCGAACTCCAGCAACAATACCAGTACTTCATACACGCCGACAACACAGGTTCTATCGAACTCTGTCGGAACCCACGCATCCACGACCGGTCCAAGCACATCGACGTTCACTACCACTACACACGTGAACAACTCGAAGCCGGAACCTTCGAAATCCTCTACGTCCCTACCGAAGATAATGTCGCGGACATAATGACCAAAGGACTACCAAAACCAGCTCACCAAAAATGTCAGAATTGATACGATGTGGCAAGTGAGGGGAAGTGTAAAAATATGGCATTGCGACATCGGTTATGTATGGTAATTACTCATGTATAAGGGATGACTCATAGTTGGAATAAGGAGGCTTAGCGCTAGGATTATGTAATCAGGGGATCACGTGGTACTAAGAACTATCTGTATATAAGGAGTAACAAACTCCCATCATTGTCGCTGGAACTCAGCGGCGCAATAGTATCTTCTTTGCACTATAAACATATTCCTCACAAAGGTCACGTGTTCAAACCCTCCTTAAGTCGTCTATTCTTCCACACTCCAATTCACAGTGATTGCCTCGTCCCTAGCACTCGAATTGTAAAGACAGTTTACAATTCAATTCCTGCTACGGCTATCACCAAGTATCAAGAATGGATCCCGGTGATCGTATTTTCAGTCATCAACCTCGAGTCAACATTGGTGTGGTACAAAGGTGCTCAGGATGTAAAGAGTTGGGGGCAAACAGCGTCGATCCTGGGTATTGCAGTAACATCGGGTTCATTCCTCTATGCACTGCACTTGCTGTTCAAGACAGAAAGCGTCGAAAAGCGGCAGCGGATTATTAGGGACTACAGTCATGGGACTGCCTTTCCACGTTTAGCTATCACGCCCTTAGTCAAATCCGACATGATTTCCTTCGCTGGGATATTACAGAGACTGCCAGCTAATCTTCTTTCTCGAAGCCCTTTTGGCAAGGTTCGCCTGCGGAGTCCCAACCACTGTCGTTTGAGTACCATCCCAGGGGCCTGGGAAAGGATCACATACTAATACCGACAGTGGCCTGGGAGAGATGCTGAGCAGCTGGGTATCATTTTAATCCAGACCTCAGTGTTAGGAGACATAAAACCAATCGGGGATCTGTTGGCCGAGGGCGCAAGCACTGCGACAAAGGACCGAAATGGAGAGAGAGCCTTACATATCGCCTGTAAACAAAGGAATGTCAATATTATCAAAAGCCTCATAGCTGGGGGCGCGGCGCTTGAGATAGAATCTAAGGAAGGGTGGACTGCACTTCATTTCGCCGTGTCCGGGGGTCCGGTCGAGGTTTTAAAGTGCTTTCTTGACCTCGACATTAACACCAGTCCACAAGCAAAGAATGGTCAGACACCATTGCATCTTGCAATTGAGGGCGGGAATCTCGAATTGTTGCGCGTGATGCTAGAAATGAAGCCGCATCTAGATCTGGGGGATAAGACTGGATTGGCCCCCCTTCACCTCGCGAGTGAGCTCCAGGATCCAGAACCTGCTTTGTTGTTACTCGCAACGGGTGCGAATCCCAATTTGAAAGACAAAAGAGGGTATTCACCACTGCATATAGCCATCCTATGTGGCATGAATGACTTGGTGGGGGGGATGCTGGATATGGGTGTAGATATCGAGTCGCAAACCAGTGACGGATGGACTCCGCTTATGCTGGCTAGTGATAATGCTGGTGAAGACACAATTTCCCTTTTACTGGAGAGAGGTGCGAATCCCAATTTGAAAGACAACAGAGGGTATACACCACTGCATCTAGCCACCCGTCGTGGCAAGAATGACTCTGTGAAGAGGATGCTGGATATTGGTGCAGATATCGAGTCGCAAACCAGCGACGGATTGAGTCCTCTCCTGCTGGGTAGTTATCTTGCTGGTGAAACGACAATTACCCTCTTAGTGGATAGAGGTGCGAATCCCAATTTGAAAGACAACAGAGGGTATGCACCACTGCATCTAGCCATCCGTCGTGGCATGAATGAGTTGGTGAAGAGGATGTTGGATATGGGTGCGAATCCCAATTTGAAAGACAAAAGAGGGTATGCACCACTGCATCTAGCCGCCCATCAGGGCCAGAGGGGCATGGTGAAGAACATGATGCGTATGGGTGCAAACCCCGGTGCACAGTGTATGCACGGATGGACCCCTCTTCACTATGCAATGACATGTGAGGATGAAGATCCCAAGCTGGTGAGCCTGCTACTAGCCATAAAAGGGGACCCGAACTGCAGAGAACAACATGGATTGACACCACTGCATGTAGCCTCTGTACTGTCCAGATTAGTACAAGCGAGGGCTTTGATTAGGGAACAACATGCGGAAGTCAATGCATCAGACAACTACGGATTAACTCCTCTTCATTACTCTGTTCACTGCGTGAACCATGAAACTACGCGCTGCTTGCTAAAGATGGGTGCAGATCCGTAGCGCAAGGGTATACACGGTTCTACACCGTTCCAAATCGTCTCGCGTGCTGGAAGGGAATTCTTAGAAAGGAAGATGCTGGTGATAAACATAGACCCAAATTCGCCTGACGAGGACGCGTCGTTAGAGATGGAAGGGGGTCTAAACTTTGAAGACCTCGACTTTAGATGTAGACACATCGAGTCGTGCGTGGATGAGATAGCAGAGTACGAACGATACTACAGGGCCCGGCCTAGTGAAGATGAGGGTGATGAGGATGAACTTAGTGAAGGTGGTTGGGATGGACCCAGTGAAGATGAAGATTATGCGGATTAAAGTATGCTTGAATTGGTGGATGAGGATCGGGGTGGGGATATGGATGAGGATGAGGATGTGCCTGTGTAGGATGAGTATGAGGACCGGGTATGAACGAGGACGAGGGTGAGGATGAGGTGATTGTGTTTAAATGATGGAGTGCCCGTGCAAGAAGTGCGCTCCAAGCACTGGGCAAAGAGAAGACGAAGAGAAAACAAAGAAGCAGAGGAGATGGAACAGGGTTGGATTGGGCCAACTTGAATGGAGCTTATATAAGTTGTCTTTAGCATCACCTTTGAACAGTCATCTTAAGACCGTTACGGCTCATTCACGAAGATAGTTCACTTGCGAAGTTTCGCAGGTGAACCAGTTCAGTCAGGAAGTATTGATTATTTCGTAGGATAACCTTAGGCTCTTAGAACTGATCTCCCTCCTCAGTGTATTGCGGGGATTATTCCCTGATCATGGTTACACAGCAAAGAAAACCCTTCAGACCCGGAAGGGCACTGTGGTACCCTGTATGAGTGCCTAGAAGCATGTGTAATGTGATAAGCGACAATTGGCATGAGGTTTTTTTACCTTATATTTTGCCGCTGACTTTGTGAATGGACTGAATTATTCCTGATAGAGCGGGGACGTTCCGATATATATCTTACTTCCTGGATGAACTAGTTCACTCATCGAACTTCGTGAATAACTCGGCTTCGTGAATCAGCCGTAAGAGGACAATAGGAGCTGTGATAAAGGAAAATTCGTTATGATCTTGTTTTTCTATAACTGTTATATTCTTATCATTAGGACACTATCATGGTGGTGAGAAGATGTTCTGGGAATAGAATGTCCGACATTTTCATAGCGTTAGGACTTCATACAGCACCACAACGACTGTCTTAATCTTCGACAGTCAGTGAGCTAGGGTAGGGTTTCTCGAAAGTATTAGTGACCACCAGCACCTCCGCCTCCCGCCAGCAATGCGGAAGCCCGCATCACAGCTCAGATGATAGGAGTTACTGTGAGCTGAGAGCTATAGGGAACGGAATCCCTGCCAACCTGCGCCCACCAACTCCGCCACCTTGCGCCCAACTCAGTCCGCCTACATACACCATAAGCTCGCGCCCAGACCACGATCGCGCCTACCACCAACACTACCTACCCACCGCCACGAGCACGCATCACCTGCACCTCCACCTTGCGCCCACCTCTACCCCCACCTTGACCACGTCCTCACGCCTCCACACCTCCACGCGCCCATTCTACACAATACCTCCTCACATTGCCGCCTCTACGCCTCTTGATTGACCTCCTTACAATGGCCTCCACGCCTCCAAGTGCTGATTTTACACTAGTGATAGGCATGAGACAAGACCTAGCGAGACTTTGTCTGGAGACTTTGAGCTCCGTGTCCCTCTGTGAAAATATATTGTTTATTTGAAACGATTCGTATATATTGGAGTTGCGTTCATTAGCGTAAGTATGTAAGGCCGGAGCTCTGTACGAATGTTCTTGACCTGTACCCGCACACAACACCACTTTCCATTTCTCCTTCTATTCGGTCTTTCAACCCGAGTCATTACTGTACTTGACGATCAATCATTTCTTTCCATCACGGAACCATTTCAGCAGTATTTGGCGGGGTGCCGCGTTGGGTCGGTGTTCCAAATCATAAAATAAATACAGACCGGAACGCTTGATTAATTGCTTCCTATCAATAAATATAGGCCCTATTTATCTAGTCTCGATAAACTCAGTCGCTTTCCCGGTTTCTTAGCCCTGCCTACAACCCTAACCCTAAAAACCCTGCGCCCGTGTAGTCTGGCACGAGACTAATATTTATCAAAAAAAAAAAAAAACGGACCCCGGACACTGCAACACCTGGCCGTACAGACGCCCGCCACAGTCATATTGACGTCCCTCTGGTATCTATCTGTCAAGGCACTGGTTATTAGACAGGGATCAACGGGGTTATCGAGAAGAAAAAAGCCTTCAGTTAGTAATTATTCAAATATTAGAACTAGTAGTGGCGGTCTGGTTTCGCGATTAGCCGTCTCTCTGGGAGTTAGAAGATGGGATGGAGAGCCGGATCTCCCATCTCTCAGCATCTTCACGCCAAGCCGATTAAGAGACCCCGGAACCCTCACCGCACAGGGTCTCATTTCTCATTTAAGCCCTTTCCGGCAGTTCCGATTGATGGAATACTTGATACGTCCTTTGAGTATGCGAGAGCTTTATCGCTTCCTTTGTAACAAGGTATTATACGTGCACAAATATATATTGTTGACTTATTTCGTACCCCTGTTCGCCGTGACATGGGTAACTAGAGATCCTGGTACAACGCTCCTCCCTGCCCTGCCCTGTTCGGTACATCCCTGTCGATCCACACATGCAGCCCGGTTGTCAATCTTGACGCAGGTACCCGCTGTTCTTGGCGCGGCTTAGAGCTCGAGCCTCATTACGGTTATGCGCGGGAGGTTGCATCGATTAGGGGCCCGTGACGAACTCGGGAGTTTCAAACTGAGTTACTAACAGACAGTTTTAAACTGGTTAAAAACTGGCTTGAGGACAGCTGGGTGTCATGGTTATGAACTAATCACTGGTGTAAACCGAATTTTTGTATGGGTTAGGGTAATTCGAGGTGTAAAATGGGATTAGAAAATGAAATTTGGGGTGGATTAGGGTAATCTTGGGGTAAATTTGGAGGTTAGTTCATCACATCTGACAGTTAAAAACTGCTGTTTATGACAGGCTGAGTTCGTGACGCTGTTTTTGTTGAGCTCTGAGTTCGTTACGGGGCACTAGCATCGATGAAACCAAAAGAAAAAAGAAAAGAAAAGACAAGACAAGAAATGGCACGGAGCAGGAAGCGCGGGATGCTAAGCGAGCTGTATAAGAGCGCTTGATATATGTAGCTAAACTTGTAACATACCTATGCGGTGCCGGGTATACTTACCCTACATTTCACTCTGTGCAACATGCAGCAATATGTAGTTTCTGATGTAGGTATTCTGCACCCTAGACGCTTACACCGCCACAAACACCGCCACCCATTGACCACCCGCACTACCGAAGTCGTTTTGAAAAGTAAGAAAGACCTAGGTCGAAATTCAAGGAATCAGACCTTGACCCACCAGTCCTACGGCACGACACAACACTGATAGTAGGCAATAGAAACTAAGCGCGGCTCTGTTCACGAAGCTCGTCACATGATGATGCGGCCATCCAGTTTAGTCATCCATCAGCTCGTCAATTTATTTTGCTATATATACAAATCATAATCCATTTCTCCAATAGCACTGCTACATAACAAAATCGTATACGACAGTCTCATCGGAGGTTAGATGAGTCAACTTTCCTCGGGAAAAATCTGGTTGTTGAGGGCTAGGAAATAGTATCGCCTCCTTTGGAAGACCTTGGAGCAGTTATCATCGGGTGCTTCTCGTGGTCGAATGTGTGGCCAAGAATATTCTTATCATCAGACTCGATAGGAACACGATTCCGATCGATGGGGGCGTAGGCCTCCATGAAGCTCTCTACTCCGACAGAAAGGCTCGTCGTATCGCCATCTGGAAGGTGGAACTCCGTTCCGTCCGCCTATATGTATCAGTTAGGGACGTTACTATTTTGCATCCAACTTCTCCGACTTACTTTGCGTATCCTCCAGTCTAACCTTTCCGTCAGCCAACGCGACACCGGCTCTTTATCATGAAGCTGGGTTCCATCACGTAACGAATGATGCATCCTATCCGTCAAATATATCGAGCCATGCATCAGGTGTGCCTCGTGATCTTGGCAATTTTTGCAGCTCTCAAGAGGGGCCTTTAAACTATTGAACGACCCAACAGTGTTCGGGTGGGTACCCCACTCCCCGGGATTGTCGCTTGATTGGCCGAGGAAGAAAAAAATAGTAAAGTTGCTATCGAGGAGGTTCTTCTTAACCCTGATCACCACCCGCCATTCGCGCCGAAAGGTGGCCTCGTCTACAACACAGTATCGGTTAGTCAGCCATGCGACCAACATGGGGCAGGGTGGCAATACCTGGGAAACCTGAACGATATCCGGGAAGATCTACCAGATCCTCTCTTTTCGTTGCCCCGGGGGGGTATTCGCCAGTAGATTTAGGCGGGGGTGCATAGCGCTTGATGGCGTCCTGCACAGCTTTCAGTCGTTGATCCGGCGTCCAATCGACTAATGTTTCAGGGTATTGGAATCCGAATTGCCATGTACTTTCGGGGTTAGCTCTTGGCAACTATTCTTACGGTTTCAGTGTATACACACGTTGGAAAAAAGTCCTCAGACCGTTGGACCATACGGCTTGTCCACGGGCCAGTCGGCGGTGCGCGGTTGAAGGGGCGGAGGTGCAAGTTGAGAGTGTCGGTACCCCAATTGTCGCTGTACAATACATCAGGGTTGATCGTCTGCCACATTACATAGTAGTAGTCTATAGCAACATGACTAGAAGTCGCATCGTTAGCGATAATGTCATAGCAAATGCTCGGGTAATGCATACACAACCCTAACCAACCCACGTTAGCAACCCTCTCCAAGCACCACTGTCGTATCTGAGATTGTACTTACCAGAATATCGGATCAAATGCAGTAACCATAGGGTCCTGCATTATGGCACTTATTGCGTCTAAGAGCACATTAACAACCCAACCCAAGAAATACACCGGAAATGAAGGAAGAACCTACTGTGAACGTTGTTATGTGGTTGCTCTATTGAGCTTGCCCCACCAGATATTGTGTTGCTGAAGTCATTATATTCTTTATTCTGAGTGATCGCGTGGTAGACAAGGGAGCGAAGGCTAAGTACACACTATTAGCCAATAACAACGTAGAGATGCCAAGCCTAGTTTCTGCTCACTTGGAATTGATCATATTCTTCTCTACCTCGTCATCCGGGAAACGCGTGGTCTCATTTATGAACTATCAACCAGATCTTGTCAGTTACTGGGTGACTATGCTTTCAAGGGAACTCGGGTCCTCTGGAGCAGGGGAGGTGTACAGGATCCCTAGAATCACCC